TTTGGTCAATTGAATCGTACTGTGTCTGTCCCCTTAACAAAGAACACGTAAACACAAAATTCAGAGAGGAATACTTAAAATTTATAATTATGTGAAGTGATTCTAACAACACATAAATTTAGTCTAGAAAAGGATACTTTAAAAATAAGCACGTATATATTTAACTAGTCAAGAAAATACTTTCTTTTAAAATAATAGCGAACAGTTTCATGCTATAAGCACTGTGTACACATTTAGAAAATATTTACGGCTATTCACAACAATTTCTTTACTTTAAGATAAAAGAAAACGATTTTCTTACAGGCAATTTTTTACAACAGTGCGAAATGGTTGGAATATTCCCTAGAATTGAGAATATAGAGCGAAAATTCTAGCTTAGGTGATAAAAAACTGAATGAAAGAAAGAAGAGGAAACATGAAAAACGAAAAGAAATACGAGCGTTTAATTCAAGCTGGTCCAACTTTTTGACTTTCATGAAAACAACTCAATTCCCGGAATAAATATCCCATTTCCTTTTTTTTTTCTGTAACTAAATAAAACTTCTTATTTTATAAGTATAGTTTGTGTTATAATATTAATAGATTTATATTGAGAAACACAATAAACAATAAATTTTAATGTCGAGGTCATCTACAACAAATAAAAATTATTTCTATTTTTATTAGAGATATTCAACTAGAACACTTACTTTAAAAAAAGGGCATATTTTAATAAATAATAAAAATGACTGTATTGCAAAAAAAAAAGGAAAGCAAAACGTTATCTGATTTTAATGCGTTGTTTTGAAAAATAATTTTGAAAGAATCCATTACAACAAAACACGTTAAGAAATGTACGAAAAATTTCTAATTTTTATAATGTATTAAAATGCAACTTTTTTTCTACAACTTTAAAACTACAAAGGTTTTTAATCAAATTAAAAAGTAATACAATTTGATTTTGTTCTTAAATATTTTTAAGAAATCCGAAAAATTAAGACAGATTTTAAACATTTTTAGACACAAACAGAAATTATTTTTACAGACTTTTACTTCTTTTTTCAAAAAAAAAGTCTGATTTTTTTTTTTAAAAAAAAGAGTATTTTACAATTAAACTATTGACATAATTCTGGTTAAATCTCAGGTTTTGTGAATCTACTTTAAAATATTCAATTTGTGAAAATATGATATGTATGAATTACTGCTACTTATTATTGATCACAAGCGAACGAAATCTATGCGACCTAGTGTCATGAGAAATCATTTCTTGCTCTTTTACAAATTAAAATCATTTATCACAGACGAAAACATTTTTTTTTTGTATCATACTACAATTTTATCATTGAACATATCATTTAACTGTTGTTTTCTTTATTTATATAGCATTTAAACTGTCATATATAATTACCTTTCTCCTTTAGTTATAATACCCAAATGTTTTCCTTATTTAGTCCAGAACGAAAACAGCTACTACTTATTTAAAAATTTTAATTTTATTAAAAACTGTGTGAACAGTTACCGTCACTGCTGCTTATAAACATTTTAATTCTACATTCAAAATACTTTTCTTCATTACTTGTTATTATAACTGTTGTTGTAATTAATTGTAACCAGTAAGTAGTGTACAAATCAATGTTTTGTACACACAATTCGGATCACAGTTGTTGTCTATCATTAACAATCACAGAAATCTACATTTGGATTAGTTGCTAGGTAGATTTGTAATATATAGAGTAAATCAAAATTATAATGTATTGATTTATATTACATTTAAATAAAGTTATCGAAATGCCATAGGTAAACATTGATTAGTAATTTGAAATTATGAAGCATATAACTTTGATCACAATGAAAATGTATTCATCGAAATATATCAGCAACGTTTCATTAGTGCTATGTATAATTTTGTTTTCTTTAACAAATTATTATTATTATTTATTCCTCTTACAAACCTATAAATGAGTATTAAGAAAAGCTACGACAAAGAAATCAAAACTCTTTTTTCAATTCCTACTATTAGTTCACTCTCTCCCTATACATGTATATATATATATATCTTATTCAAATTTTCAATCGTTAATAAAGTACTTTATATTCATCCATTCAAGTTTAAATATATTTTTTTTTAAATTTGTAGTGGATGACACTTGATGTTCATGCATTTTTTCAAATATTAATTCATTAATTAAATTAAAAAATGAATAAAAAGTAACAAACAAAAATAATAGTCCTACAGCATATATAGAAAGGAAAATCATTAGTTGTGTCCCTGTAGCGTAATGGATTCGAATCCCACCAGAAATGGCTTAATTTCTGAGAATGTGATTTTTTTTTTCTATACTATTTTATTAGAATAATTAAATTTAATTAATGAATAAATAGTAATAAACAAAAAATAAAAATGGGCCAAATCCATATATAGAAAGAAAAATGGAAAATTGCAAGGAAAATCGCTTTCTTTTTTTGTTACTTAATATTGTGATTCTGTCACATGTATATATATATACATATTTATATTAATTGTAACTATTTTTTGTATTACTTGTTTTTCTTGTAATTTATTTAAAATAAGATTATTAATGTAGTGCAGATGCGTAAAAGAATATATTATTCTGCTGAAACAGGTTCTCGTTTCGGGTCTCCAAGTAATCTTCTAGGGGTAATACTTTTCAGATATTGTTTAATTGGAGCACCTCTTTCTGTAAAGGAACCACAATTTATGTAAAATAACATTACAATTTAAAGTCACGTGTTGACTTGGCGAGAGAAAGTAGAGACAGAAAGGGAAATTACTCGGCTCGAGAGGATATCATTGAATACAGCCGAGCATCTGCAGTTACTGATAAGTACAATTTCTTTATTATAAATATTTAAGTTAGCTTAAAACTGACTTGCTCCACATAATCTTATGCTAGAGGTTGACAAGAATTAATTGAAAGGATAAAAATAAATATTGTTGTTTGCTTTAAAAGGGCTCTTCCTCGCTACAGAGTTTTGAATGATAGTAAAATGAAATTCATAAGGAAATTTTATTATTATTCATCTATTTTGTATTTAAATTTCATTCAGTATTAAACTTTCTTTTTCAGGAAACATTTTCCTCTATTCATTAATTACAAGAAAATAGAACGTATCTGTGTAACTGTTTAAAATATCAAATAATCGACAAACTTTCTTATTTTTTATTTTAAATATAAGTAATGAAAATTATTACTTAAGTACACTGAAACATTTCGAAACATTTGGTAAGATTTAAACATATATTTGTAGATGAAAATTACAAAAGGAAGAAACGAAAAACTTCTCTTTAAGTAATTATATTAATTTATTATTAAAGCATAATTTTTTTTTAAAAAAAATTGAAAATAATTAAAAAATGCGCTTAAAAATTTTTGTAGTAATTCATAGATAAATCCAAGAATGTTGATCATTAATACCGTTAGAAAGAATCATGTGAATGTTTTATATAAAAATTTATCAAAGTAGTTTTAAACATATAGAAAAATTTCATTTTAGTATTGATGATTTCAAGTTAAGAAGTTTGAGCAAAATAATATTCTTAAATGCTGTTACACTAATAAATGTAATTTAAAATTCACATCAAAGAGTTGCAACTCTGTAACTAATGTACTAAATAGAATAAGAGTTTGACAATAAATTTTCAAGCTACAGAAGAACATATAAATCCTTTTCAAAACAAAAAAAAATGCCTAAATTGCAACAAATGAGTCGCATAAAAATGAAACTTGCAATTTATGTAATACATATATAATAAAAAAGAAACAATATTTTTTGAAAATAGAAAAATTTCAGTTATGTAAAGTAATGAAAAAAAATAAGAACATTAATATTATAGTTCAATTAAAGTTTATCTTTTTTTAAAAAAATAATTAAAATATAACTATTTTAAAGTAATTATTTACTCAAATTAAATAACTCTAAATAATTTGATAATGTGGTGTCATGAAAACCTAAAAATACAGCAAATACAATAAAAAATTTCTCTAGTATGAAATTTTTTAAATAAAGAAAGGAAGAATTTTTTCTTAGTCTTTTACTTCCATTTTTTGTAGGTTGCATGTCCATCCTTCGAAATAATTCGACCGAAAGTACAAAAGAGAGAATTACGAACAAATCCATTCAATTTAACATTATCTAGTATGTTATAAATTCTGTATGAATTTGAAAGAGATCTCTTAATTTTATAAACGACTATAAATAAAATATGAGATGGGTCATTTCTAATAAATCAAGTCCTTCCATATGAAACTTGAACAAAAAATGAAGACGTCTCGAAAATTCTTAATAACCTCGCTATCGATAATCAATAGCTCAAAATGACCTTTACATTGAATACAGAGGATATCCCCACCCCCCTCAGGCTAATAACTTTTTGCTCGTGTCCTTTTTTCCTTACACTTTCACATATCAATAAAAGAGGGAAAAAGTACTAAAAAACGTTTCTCTAAGGGAGGTCGTATTCGGTTTCTAAATATAGGTAACCGATACTCGGTAAAAAAAAGGAATGATTATTATGAGATTTGTATTCCTGAGGGAAGTCATTAAATGTCGAATGCGGCCGCATTATATTTTTTTTTCAATCGATTTTCAGTCAGTCTTTTCGGTTGAGTTTTCAAAACAAGTATCACGTCACAAAAACTTTGCTATATTTTTTGCAACATATACATACCAGAAATCGATACAACAGCTACGTAAGAACAAACAAGTAATATTAAAAGAAAATTTTAAAGTCAATCCCTACTTAGGTCAACAAAAGAAAATTTTAATTTAGTTACTTTCTATTAAATAATTACAATTATTATAAATAAGTATATACATATGACAGAATTACAATATGAAGTGGCAAAGTAGAAAGCGATTTTCCTTGCAATTTTCCATTTTCCTTTCTGTATATGGTGTTGGACTATTATTTTTGTTTGTTGCTATTTATTCATTAAGTAATTTTAGTTATTCCAATAAAATAGTATAGTAAAAAGAAATCACATTCTCAGAAATTAAGCCATCCCAAGAGAGATTCAAGCCCCCGACTTTTGAATTCGAAGTCCAACGCACTATCTATTGTGCTACAGGGACACAACGAGCGATTTTCCTTTATATATATATAGTGTTGGACTATTATTTTTGTTTGTTACTATTTATTCATTTTTTAATTTAATTAATGAATTAAAATATTTGAAAAAACTGTATTAACATCAAGTGTCACCCACTACAAGTTTAAAAATGTATTTGAACTTGAGTAGATAAATAAAAAGTATTTTATTAACGTTGGAAAATTTGAACAAGATATATAAAGTCAGACCTCTATATAACGAAGTCGCTAAATCACGAAAAAAAGTTTGTCATATGGAAAATTTGTTATATAGAGGTTCATCTTTCAATTTTCTTTACAAACAACATAAAACAAATTTTAAACTCATAAACACTATGTACTAACACTCTTTCTGTAAAATAATATATATTTATTTTACGTACCTTACTTATCATAAGAAAAGAAAGAAAGAAAAACTGCAATTAAAGTTTCTTGACGCCTTTATGCTCTTCCTGAAGAATTAAATTTTTATCTTTGATGCTCAAGCACTTACGTTTTGACGTTTTCGAGCCACAAGAAATGAAGTTACCAGTACGACTGATCAATGAACACTACTCAAGAGGACACGGGGACATGAGACAACTCCACTGAGGGTGCAAGGGGATATCGAAGATGTTTCTATTGAACTGGACAATGGGGGTTAAAGGTTGCACTTTTTGGAGGAAACGCCCAAAATTATACTGCTTTCGGGTAGTTAGGTCCTTAATAAAACCAGTTCAAAGTGTTAAAAGAGGGAATAATTTGAAATGTCCAGAAATACTTCAAAAATGGAGAGGGGAAAAAATTGAATTACAAGAGAAAAAGTTCGATATATAGAAAATGCACTTCGCTATAGGGAGGTTATTTTACGAAGAAAATCGTGAAATGTTCAAGGTTCCAGGAAATAGTTCGCTATACAGAAAAATTCGTGATATAGAGGTTCGTAATATGGAGGTTAAACTGTATATAAATAAATATATATAGGGAGAGTGTGAACTAATAATAGGAACTGAAAATGGGCTCCAACTCCTAGATTTCTGAATTTACACAATTTCTAAAAAAATTGATTCGCAAAAAAATCTTCAGCATAGTAAATATATATATATATATATATATATTTAATAAAGGAATAGCGATCCTGAATATGGATTTATTAAAAGTTTTGTAAATATTTCATAATGTAAAGGAACAAAAAGTGACGTAAGAAATATTGCTGATATATCTCTAATACATAAGATTTCCAAGTTCATATTGTAAATTAAATACAGTCACAGGACCTTTATACAGTATCAGAAAAGAATTAACTAATCGTAACAGCTGTTTTATTAAATTTATACCTAAGCCTAAAGAAAAAAAATCACAGCTTTTGCTAATTGTGTACTAATTAATTTCTAGAATATTTATATTTTTATATCTTATCTGAAAATTAAATAAATTACATCAGAGCCGAATTAAGACCTTTAGAGATTCCATGCACTTACAGAATCTTTGTATATTAAAGAAACTGTACGTATAACTCAAAATATTAACAATAATAAACTAAGAAATAAAGTTTATTTATGGATTTTTTTCCTATATGAAGTACGCTGCAATGTAACTTATTAAATCACAATATTACATCATCCTTCTACATTTGTAATACATATTTCCCGAACCTCTCATTTTTTTTAAATCTTCTTAATCTAATTTTTAAATTGTACGTTATGGAACTTTCCTCTATAATGTACTTTGCTTTTAAATTCTTTCAATAATTAGCCTTTAAATCTGGAAAGAGCCAAAGAATAATATCCATATCTTTGATATTATACTTTTGATAATATAACTCTAGCTGAGGCGCGCGCGCGTGTGCGTGTGTGTGTGTGTGTGTGTGTGTGTGTGTGTGTGTGTGTG